AAGCCGCGAAACCCCACTCTGGGCACCGCAGCGGCGCATCCCCCTAAACTCCCACCGCGTCCCCCGTCCCAGCTCCACGCTCCAGGGCTCGTCGCCTGGGGGACCCCTTCGCCGGCACGGATGCTGGGGTGGGAGCCCAGGGCCGCGTGGATGCCCAGCCCCAGCTTCTGGGCGGTCGGGACCCCAGGCGCGGGAGGCGGGGACTGGGGTCCGGGAGCAGCCCTGTCTGGCCGCGTTTCGGAGAAGATGATGCAACTCCCGGCCGAGGCGCGGGTGCGACTCGGGCCCAACTGGGACCCTCCGTCCGGAGCCGGGAGCAGGTCTCCGCGGGGCGGGATCTCACCTGGTCGGACACGCGGGAAAGGACTGAGCTGCTGTCCCGACTGCGGCGAGGCGGAGACGGCGACCCCGGGGAGGCGGCCTCGCAGGGACCCGCTGCGAGGGGAGCGGACGGGCGGCGATTGGCGGAGAGGCGGGGGCGGAGGCCGGAGCCCGCCAATGTCCCGCGGAAGAGCACCCGCCCCGCCTCCAACGCGCCCAGCCCGGGCCCTTCCCCACCCCCGCCCCCCGCCCCCCATCCCCCGCAGCCTGGGGACCGCTGCGTGCCGCGGGGACCCCGGCCCGCCCCCACCCCAGTCCGCCCGCCCGCCCGCTCCATTCCCAAGCCTCGTGGATTCACCCGCGGGCCCGGGGCCCCGCCCCCGCCCCGCTCCCGGAACCCCAGCTCTTCCCCTTCGCCTTCCCCTGTCCCTGCCCGCCGCGGTTCCCCCCAGCTCTCACCCGCGGACGCCGGAGCAGTGCGAACTCTTTTTACCTGGTGTTCCGATACTGTTTTACTTAGTTAACTTCTTGCCCTTCGGGAATTTTTTTTTTTTTTGAAACCGAGTCTCTCTTTGTTGTCCAGGCTGGAGTGCAATGGCGCGATCTCGACTCACTGCAACCTCCGCCTCCCGGATTCCAGCGATTCTCCTGCCTCAGCCTCCCAGGTAGCTGGGATGACAGGTGTGCATCACCATGTCCAACTAATTTTTGCATTTTTAGTAGAGACGGATTTTCACCACGTTGACCAGGCTGGTCTAGAACTCCTAACATCAGGTGATCCACCCGCCTCGGCCTCCTAAAAGTGTTGGGATTACAGGCATGAGCCACCGCACCCGGCCCAAGGTGCGTTGTTTTAAACCACTCAAGTTTGCAGTAATGTGTTCCACAGCCCAAATGGTTTTTAATTTCTTAAAATTTTAAACGTAATTTTAGATTAGAAAAGTGGCAAGAACCATACGGAATGTCAGATTCCCTCATCCATATTTCCCAAATGTTAAATTTATTTGGCTTCTATTATCAGAAACTCCTTGTTAATTCAAATGTTAAGTTTTTACTACATTTGTTCCCTCTCTGTCTCTCTCTCTGTCTACACACACACACACACACACACAGACAGACACACGTGCATTCTCTGATTTCTCGAAGCCCTGGAGAGCAAGTGGCAGACATGATGCCCCTTTACCCTTCAATTCCTCAGTGTATGCTTGTCGGGTTCACTGCCTGCAGGGGTCTGTCCTGCTGACCCTGACTCAGTGACAGATGAATAAAGTCACTCCGACACAATATTCAGTGAATGAGTGGGCTAGGGTGTCCAGACCCCTCACAGACACTCAAGGAGAGTGCTGTAAAGAGATAGCAGCTTTATTCAGCATGCGTTAAATGACAAAGGCTTTGAGTCAACACCACTAGAGGGTACAGATTAAAGGCCAGGTTCCCAGGCCTACAGCAAACACCATTAGTGGGTAATATCCCTGGTCAACCTCCCCCCAAGAGAGCCATCTGGAACGAGCAAGTGTTGGTTTATAGCACCACATGAAAGTAAACAGGTTAGTTAGGTAAACTCCCCTAACGAACTCCATGCCTTTGTTTCTACTTTAATTTGTTTAAAGGCTGCCTTCAGCCAGGGTCTCACTCTGTCACCAAGGCTGGAGAGGAGTGGCATGGTCGTGGCTCACTGCAGCCTTGAATTCCTAGGCTCAAGTGATCCTCTCACCTCAGCCTCTCAAGTAGCTAGGACTACAGGTGTGAGCCACCTCACCTGCCTAAGGCTGCCTTCAGCCAAGAACTATAGTAAAAACACTTAGGCCTTCCAAAAGGGTGTGTATATATTCTCTATAACTAAAATTTCTTCCACCAGCATGACTGAATCCCCACATGTACTTAGTAACAACAAAAAGGTGCTTTCCATAACTACAATACAATGAACTGTCAAAGTCGGGAACTTAACATTAATACAAACCTGTGATCTCTTACCTGGTCATTGCTCAGAGTCTGCCAGTGCAGTTGGCCCCTGAATGACACAGGTTTCAACTGCATGGGTCCTTTGTACCCAGATTTTTTTCAATAAATATACTGAAAAATATTTTGGAGTTTTTTTTTTTTTTTTTTTTTTTTTACAAAAGTTATTTTTTGTTTTTTTTTTTTATAAACAATTATACATCTTAATTTGCTAACTGTT